CCATCAGGGAAAGTAACAGCGGTGACCTAGAAGTGACGTCATACACATCTCTCTTTGGTTCACACCAAGAAGGGGAGGAGAACAGTTGAGTACCCGCTCTCCTCTTTCCCCTCCACCTGCTGGTATCCGTCATGTTGGTCCTGGGCCCTCAGATGGACAAGCGGAGCCCAGAATGCATGGTGGGAGCGTGTGCTGGGCACCATTACCGGCTGCTTCTATCTGACAGGCAGGAGTCTGCCTGTTAGTTACCCCTCATGCACACGGGACGTTTTGATAACACTGGTAACGTTAGATGTGTAAAGTCACGTTAAAAACATGAGTTTTCATCTTTTTTTATTAGTTTTTGCATTAGCGTCTAGCTGCGTTTTGCTGCAACTAGCGGCGTTTTCCTGCATTTTTTCACGTTTGTATTTTTTAGCATTTTCTTTTTACCCCCCAAAAATATTTTTTTTGGACAAAAAAAAGTCCAAAAACGCCGATTTGCGGCATTTTCCACGTTTTTCAGCGTTTTTATACTGCTAAAAAACTCCCCTAGGAACCCACTAGTCCTGGGTTTATTTTCCAGCCAAAAAACATCCCAGACAAAACACGTTGATTACAGTCTGTGTGTGTATGGACACCCAGGATAACATGCTGGGGGGTTTACTGGCTGTACAGAAAAAAGTCAAAAGCCAAAAACAGCTGCTGTAAAAACGTCCCGTGTGCATGAGGACTTATAGACACAATGCCAGTGGCCGGTGGCCACCGGATTGTGTGTAACCCCCCCCCCCCCCTCGTCAGGTCCCCCTGGCAGCAAAATGGTTAAGGCTCGGCTCACACTGCTGTAAACCCAAAATCCAGTGCGACTTTGCATTGAGACCTAATGCGATTTTGAAGAGTCACAAAGATAAGACAAAGATATGACTACCTTGCGACTTTGGTGAGCTTAACATGGCTGTCTATGGTACTCATGTCGCGCCAAAGATGCAGAAAAAATAGCTCAGGAACTATTTTTTTGTCTCTGCACCCTGACTCGCAGCAACAGGGGCAGACTGACCATTCGGGCACCCGGGGCACTGCCCGAGGGCCCGGGATCAGTAGAAGGCCCCATGAGATGCCCCTGGTACCTTTCATAAGCTTTTTTGTGAGTGGTTTGAATGTGGGCAAGGACACAGGGGCCCCATGATCCCCTATTGCCCGGGGGGCCCCATGAGTTGTCAGTCCGGCCCTGCACAGCAATTGACCTCCGTGGCGGTATTCCCAAGTGTAGTTCGAGGTAAAGTTCAGTACCACAAGCGGTAACCCCGAGCTACATTCGGGCTTACCATGCGGCGCTGCTCCGGGATCTGTTCTTCTCTTACCTTGTCCTGCACTCCTGCGATGTCCCTCCTGCAGTGTCCCCTGTAATGTCCTCCGGCTGATGCCGGCATCTGTCATCTGGGTTCCGTTCCCTGCGCCGTCGGGACATACAGGGGACGGAACTGGCGGGAAATTTTAAAATTTTAAAAGTGACATTCACTAAATTCACTAAAATGACATAGTATTCCATTCCTGTATCAAACCATTTCACATACATTTTGTCCCGAGTGCTTTGTCCGGCGCCCTGCCTGCATTTTTACTGTTCTTTCTGCCTGGAAACTGAGAAACGTCCATGGCGTCCAAAAAGCGTCCCTTTAGGTCAAAAGCGGTTTTAGACCGGCTAGAGAACAGTGATAGTAAATCAGAACCACTTGCAGAATTGAGTGATAATGATTCGTGGGGGAAATTCCTCATCAGACACTGAAAACGATTCTGCGACTTTGCTCAGCGATGTGCGAACTTGGCGCTCTATTTCACATTTCAGTGTTTTTGGTTTGATTATATTATTGAATTAAATTTATTATTATTATTATATTATTTTTTATGATTATTTAATAAATGATAATTTATGATTTCGTGTTTCAAATTGTAACATACCCGGGATGTTTACTAGACTCTTGTTCGGACAGATTTCAGTGAGTTATTCCTAAGAATTACAGGCCTACAATAAAAAAAATACATATTTCCATGCAAAAAAAATGTACCGCTTTGAGCACAGAAATATGGACATAATCAGACCGCTAGGGAGGTTAAGATGGCACCAGGGGCGGACTGACAACTCATGGGGCCCCCAGGCAATAGGGGATCATGGGTCCCCTGTGTCCTTGCCCAAACTCAAAAAAGTCTATGAAAAAGGTACCAAGGGCATCTCATGGGGCCCCCTACTGACCCCGGGCCCTCAGGCAGTGCCCGAGTTTCCAAATGGTCAGTCCGCCCCTGGATGGCACCCTTTGAAATGAACAAGTTTTTATGAGTTTTTACTTGTCTTTTATACAGGAGCTCCGTTTGCTATAGTACGTTTTCACCATTACCTTGCCGAGCCTTTACCAACATCAGAGCAAAGTATTCCAAATCTGGATTGCAAATGGTTGGATCTCCCCGAATAACCGCTCAAAAACATTTATTTTCCCTTTAACTGTATACAGGAAGAAAGGAGATATTAAGGTTACATTCCAAATAAAATAGAACTCTCATTTCTCTCCGGGTCTATACCACATACATATTCAATGCATCCAACAGAAACAGGACATTAGCAAACTTCATAAAAAATAAATCATATTTATCGAGCCGGCTTTTGAAGAGATTTTTGCTGCAATCCGGGTGCTCTCAGGAAACCCTGAAAAATACAATCTCCGTTGATCCACAAAAGCCATCATATTACTTTTTTTTTTTTTTTTTTACTCCTTTTTTGAGAGAATGACAAGCTGTAAACATTTAGCTGTAGGGTCTGCATATACTTAGACTCACCGATCTCTTTAAACAAGTATAGAAAGAAAAAAAATCAATGCCTGCAAAGCCACTCCGCATTATAACAAAAAAAAAAAAGATCTTTCAGTAGTTTAGTGTGTTTATGTGGAAAAGCAACAACATGACAGATACGGATTTTTGTTGGCTTTAAAAACAATGAAGCATTTCTCTAAAGACAACCTGCGTTGTTTTAGAGATGTCTTTCACCCTATTCAGTCAATAGTGTCTTTTTTCTTTTTTTTTTTTTTTTTTTTTATTTCCTCTGGAAAATATTTCATGAGAAAATCAAAGAGAAAAAGAAGCTGCTGAATTATATTATTCAGGGAAAATGTTATGTAAAGAATGTTTTCTTTCACTGTTAGCAATAGAGAGATAGATTAAAAAAAAAAAAAGAAACCTTTTCAAACCAACTGGCCATTGATGGAAACCCACATATCTCAGCATCAGGTGAAATCAACTCATTTAATTCATTAATGATTTTAACCACTTGCTGACTAAGGTATTTATTAAAAAAATTGCAGCTGCAGCCATTACCTTTCTTCTTGTAGCACCTTCCTAAATAAGCTGTTAGAATAGTTTAAATAAATGTATTTATTTATTTATATTATTATTATTGTTATTATTATGTTTTTATTTATTATTATTATTATTATTATTATTATTATTATTATTAATTAATTAATTTATACTAGTATTATTATTTTGTTTTTAATTATTATTATTAATTAATTAATTAATTAATTAATTAATTTATTTATTTTTTTATTTGGGGGGGGGGGGGTTGGGGGGGGGGGGGTCCTCTGCAATTAGTGGAGCAGTGTGTGCTTACTTTGGTTCTGTTCTAGATTTTACTGGCTGTAGGCTCAACTGACTGACCATTTTTAAACTCGGGCACTGCCTGAGGGCCTGGGGTCAGTAGGGGGCCCCATGAGATGCCCCTGGTACCTTTTTCATAGGCTTTTTTGAGTTTGGGCAAGGACACAGGGGCCCCATGATCCCCTATTGCCCGGAGGCCCCATGAGTTGTCAGTCCGCCCCTGACGGAGAGCGCTCACTATTGCCATTTGGAAACTCGGGCACTGCCCGAGGGCCCGGGGTCAGTAGGGGGCCCCATGAGATGCCCCTGGTACCTTTTTCATAGGCTTTTTTGAGTTTGGGCAAGGACACAGGGGCCCCATGATCCCCTATTGCCTGGGGGCCCCATGAGTTGTCAGTCCGCCCCTGCGCCTGCCTTCTGCTGAATTCTAGAATGTGTGATTTGTCTCATTACGAATCAAAATTCGGACAGCATTTTTGTTATTCAGAGATTTGGATGTATCCGAATTTCCAAATCACAATAGTAATGAATTTCAACAAATCCAAAATAAGTTATAACAAAATGGACTATCCGAAGTCGAATTCAAACATGAATTTGAATTAAAAAGTGAATTTGACAATGGATTTTAATTTGAAATGGAAACATAATGCTATAAACACATAAAAGTATATGAAACATACAACTATAATAAAAGGGAAATACTGTATGATGATCATTCCTATTTAAGCTGCATTATAGAATAGAAAATAAAAGGATAGGATAGGATCAGGGGCGGACTGACCATTTGGAAAGTCTGGCACTGCCCGAGGGCCCGGGGTCAGTAAGGGGCCTCATGAGATGCCCCTGGTACCTGGAAGATCTGGCATTTCTGCCAGTGCCCTGCATGGCCGCAGAATCACGCATCAGCCTCAGTTTGGTGCCTAGACGGCCTTTATAAGGAGGCTCATCACTTCCTCAAGTTGCTGGATGATCTCTAGCTCCCCGTGCCTTGTTCCTGTTTCCTGTTTCTTGTGATTCTGACCTGTGATTTCCTAATACCGACTCGGCTTGCTCCTGGACCTGTCTACTCTGCTTTACCCCCTGATCTGACCTCGGCTATCCCATATGACTACGTCTGCTCTGACTCCCACCTGGTACCTGACCTTGGCTTGAACCGACTACCCAGTAAACATCTAAAGGGCTTGCATACCACACACAGGCGCCTCCTGTCTGCAGACCTATCTCCGTGCACCAGTTGTGCTTCTGAGTGGACCACCAACCAGCACTCCTACAGGCGACCTGTGCAACTTTGGGCCTGACTCCCGTTGTCTCACTCTCAGGGGAGTCCAGAACTTAGCCGCAAGGGAAACCCTCTCTTCATTGGCCTCCATCACCAGGTACGTGATAACAATGTCTGGGGAGAAGAACTGAGGGAAAGCTTCTTCCCTTTCCAGGAGGGGTCAGACATCACGGTTTGCTTCCAGTTTGAGCAAGACAAGATCACCATACTACTGTCTACCAGAAATCCTCTCTCATTTCCACTCCGATTTCCCATAGAGGTGATTTCCTACTTGGCCATGAGAGGTCTCCAGCTCAAGTCCATCACACTAAACTGATGAATCCTGCAATAGAGGAGCCGCCTGTCCCAGATGTCTATATCCAGGCCATGAAATTGATGGAGAATAACACACTCAATCCTGTTTTGTACCCCCTTCCCTGCATTCTGCATCCTTGCTTCTTATGTAGACACATTGGGGTTTATTTACTAAAGCTGGAGAGTCCAAAATCAGACTCCCTTCTGCATAGAAACCAATCAGCTTCTAACCTCAGCTTGTTCAATGAAGCTTTGGCAATGAAACCTGGAAGCTGATTGGTTTCTATGCAGATGTGAGTCTGATTTTGCACTCTCCAGCTTTAGTAAATAAACCCCATTGTGCTTTGCTCAGATCATTTACTAGAAATGAATTTCATCCATTTGTTCATACATTGTTCATACAAGTTGACCCGTTGTCCTATGAGCTGTTCCACTCTTACTTTTACTTAATACACAAGTTTGACCCTAGAACATCTCATCGACCAGTTAAGATGTTTCCATTAAAAGCCTTTTAAAGCTTTCCTTTGTGGCATTTCCATTAAGAGTTTCCATTCTCATTTCCATATTTTCCTTTTTGAGTGGTAGTCTTACCTATTCTAAACATTTCTCCAACAATTCAGGCCTTGACTTGCATATACAGTTGTTATTGTTTTGTTAATCTCCTTTTCTCTGAATCACAAAACAAGAGAAATAAAGAATGTTTTGTTTCGTGTTTGTTCTTGACTTGTCCTTTTCCCTTTTTGGACTTTTTTCTCTTATACTTAAACTGCAAAGTGTTTTCACTCGGTTATTGTATGAAACCATTGTTGTAAAGTTTACTCGAAACCCTGTTTCAGTATGGTTTGTAGTTTTCCATTTCTCTACTTTCTTTTTATTGTAATATCGTATTTTAGATACAGATTAGTAAATGACTGGCTTAGTGGCAATGGTCTACTTAGTGTATTTGACACCTGGGATAGATTTTATTTTTTAACACCCCCTTCCCTATTCTATACATCAAAACAATTTTTCACAATAAAAATCATGAAATAAAAAGAAAACTAACAATGTTCAGAAAAAAAATGGAGCAAAACACAAGGTAAGCTAATACGCACCCAAATCACATCATCAAAGGGTTCTTTACATAAAAAAGCCTGCTGAATTATACACCAGCAAATCTCTCCCATCTTTTTTCACCCATTCTCTAGCCTGTTGGAGAAATTATGGCCACAGAGGATCAACAGTGCACATCTGGTGGACTTGCCACGCTTTAATATCCTTTTGGATTGATGTACAGTCCTTAATGAAAAGGATCACAGGTATATCTCAAGATCTTATACCCCAACTGGCACTGCTCAGAATTGGCTTGGAGCAATGCCCTAGACGGTACCATTCCATTATCACACATATTTTGATAGCAGAACGTCTATCTGTTGCACGCACCTGGAAAAATCAGATCCCACCAAATATCCCACAACTTATTTCCATTCTTAACCAAAATCTAAACATGGAATATATGTTTGCCAAAGGACATTTAACAATCCCCAAATTTCTAGCAAATTGGTCACCTTGGCTAAATGACCTCTCCAGTGACCCTCTTCTCAGATAGCTCCTGCTTGTTATTGAAATATCATTGGTGAAATTCATCTGATTATCCCCATCCAGGTTCACATTATGACAATATACACCCTGCATTGAGTTATTGTATCTCCTGTATTTTTTAATTTTTTTTTTTAAATGTGGTTTATGTGGTTGATACCCGGGTCAGGAAGCACAGTAATCCTTACTGATGTGCATCCTGTATACACACCTGGTACTTTGTTACCTATATGCCTTTCTAAATATACTATACAGCTTTTCTAAATGCTTTTACTACTCTGTATCACTTCTTTGTTGAAATTCAATAAAATATCAAGTGATAAAAAAGGGTGCTGAAACCATAGATTTGGTTTCCTCAAGAAAGACACTGGAATAGGGGGCACATGTGCACAGTGGCTTAAGATGGGTGACTGCTAGGGCCTCTCCACCAGTTTTGGGTACAAACCGGGCTCTCACCTAGAGCACACAAGCACCTCCACCACGTCATCCACATCGGGAGAGCCCCGCTACAACCAACATAAGGTCGGGCATGTACTAGTCTGCTAAAGCACGCAAGGAAACCTCTCCTTCTCACTCCTCCCCAGGGGCGGACTGACCATTTGGAAACTCGGGCACTGCCCGAGGGCCCGGGGTCAGTAGGGGGGACCCATGAGATGCCTCATACATGCCTGGTACATTTTTTATAGGCTTTTTTGAGTTTGGGCAAGGACACAGGGGCCCCATGATCCCCTATTGCCCGGGAGCCCCATGAGTTGTCAGTCCGCCCCTGCTCCTCCCACACTCGCCTAGCTATATCCAATATGGTGTCAGGCTCCATGAGGATGAGTGGCTCTCCCAAGCTTGCAGGAGACTCAGAGGACAGCCAGAACCTCTTCCCAGGGGATCCCCACCCATTGGGCTTCTCCCCAGCTGCCTCTTTCCTCTCCCAAATGCAGGAAGACCTAAAACCACGATCACGATTACAGCTGAGCTTAAGCAGGGGATAAGGGAGATCAGATGCCACACAGCTTCCTTGGAAGTCTGTATGGATGCAGCCATTAACTGTCCTGAAAGACCAAAGAATAATACTCTATAAATACATAATAGGCAGCACTCCAAACGGCTAAGTTTTTGATTTTCATATACAGAGTACATGCACAAGACGTCCCCAGGGGCGGACTGACCATTTGGAAACTCAGGCACTGCCTGAGGGCCCGGGGTCAGTAGGGGGCCCCATGAGATGCCCCTGGTATGTTTTCATAGGATTTTTTGAGTTTGGGCAAGGACACAGGGGCCTCATGATCCCCTATTGCCCGGGGGCCCATGAGTTGTCAGTCCACACCTGGACCTCCCTATAGTTCCTCTATCTGGATAAAGGCAATCTCTCAGTGTTAGAATTGGAAGCAGATCCAGGCTAGAAGTATAGCGAATAACAAACATTTATACACATAGATAGATAACAATAACAACAACACAACAACAACAACAAAAAAGCCTTTAGCTGGCATGCATACATTTAGGATTAGGCGGAGTCGGGAATCACAATGTTTTACTGTAGAGTAAATAATCCTTTCTTAAATGAGGCAGCACTGTTTAAGGGGGGGGGGGGGGGCACACAGAGGGACCTGGGCAGCAGACAGAAACACATAGTGCACAGAGAGGATGATGGGTTCACCAGAGGGGGGGCAATTACTGGAACTGATACCCTTGTATGACTCTCTCTGCAGCAGCTGAAAGACAGCAGGATTGAGAGGATAAGGACTCAGCTTTCAGCTATCTCAGAGAGAGCTATACAGGGGGTCGGTTCTAGCAGTTGCCCCCCAGCCATGCTGATCACCCTTCCTACCCACATCCAATTCACCAAGCTGCCTGGGCCCCCTGCTGGCCTGGGCCCCATACAGGAGGACTGGTGGTACCCCCTTATCCATGGCCCTGTTCCCCACTGTTTATCAATATATATAAAGGTTTAATTGATGGAGTTTTATCCGTTTAAGACAGAAAAGGTCATCTTCTCCTCCCAGAGTGGGATGGCCTCCCCGCTCCTGGCTGGCCAATCCTCCAGAGGTTTTCAGACTGCATCTGAGAGGTTGTGGACTGGGAGCGATGTCATGAAAGTTCTACTTCCTCTACTGGATTTGACATCACTCCGGCCGGGGGGGGGGGGGGGACTGTTTGGAATGCTGTCTATTATTTATTTATGCAGAATAGAAATGGAGCTAGGAAATTTTTTTCTTTACTGTAACATTGTATATATGTCAGTAGGTAGGGATGTGACATGAATGTAGGCAACTACATTATAGTAATATGGTCATTTAAACAGACATTATTCAATAATAAGATCTCATGCACACACGGCATTTAGATGAATTATTATAGCCGGCACCCACTGTAGCCCTTGCAATAATTAATTTACTTGAGGGAATACAACATACAGTCATCCAGGCTCACGCGTTTAGACCCTCAGAGGGTCTTAATCATAGCTATGGAGCTTTCCATTGCACCACAGTTAAAAACATGGATACCTGACCAGGGGCGGACTGACCATTTGGAAACTTGGGCACTGCCCGAGGGCCCGGGGTCAGTAGGGGGCCCCATGAGATGCCCCTGGTACCTTTTTCATAGACTTTTTTGACTTTGGGCAAGGACACAGGGGCCCCAAAAATTCCCTATTGCCCGGGGCCCCATGAGTTGTTAGTCCGCCTCTGTACCTGACACAGGTGAGCAGCAAATACAGGGTGTTTAGCCCTGCTACATGAGACTCCAACTTTTAGGTGCCGGCAAAAGGCACAGGCGTACCATCCAACCCTGCTGCCAGCAGTCCAACATTTAGGACAAAATGCTTGGAAAACAAGTAGTCTGCATTCTTAGGATTTGCTCCTGAGTACATACTGCCATAAACCTTAGTAACACTCCATGCACCATCAAGTCCCATCTAGCCACAGCAGCTTTCAGCTTCCCATAGAGTTTTACAGGCCTCAGACAGCAGGACCAGACGATGCGTCTGTGCCTTCTGCCCGCATCTAAATGCCAGAGTCTCATGCACCATGGCTAAATGACCAGTACTTAGTGGGAAAAAAAGGCAATCCTGAAAACACATGGGCAGCAAATAAGTAAACATTAAAAAGGTAAATGGGGATCAAGACAATGTGTGAGTTGCAAATAGGTAATTGTATCATTAGGTGGGCAACAAACAGGCAGTTGTGGCACTATGCTGACATGTACAATAACAGTGATAACTGTGATAACCTTGAGCTTAAAAAGTAGAAACACAGTCATGTGGTTATTGAAAATAATAACTTATGAAACAAAAAAAAAATAGAAAATAATAATCAACTTACAATGGTAGTTAATAAGTGGAAAAATCACTCTCCATTGGCTGTCCATGACAAGAATTACCTTTGACTTGGAAGTCGTTGAGTGGAGGAATCCCCCTTATATTCATGGTCAGTGGGAAGAATTCCCCTT